TAATAATAATAATAATAATAAATTTCTTTTTACCTCCTTAACATCCAATCTCGATCATTCAAATAAGTTATCATATGACTTAACAATACATCATTTGCTTTTTGTCGTCCAAAGAAAATACAAAGACTAGTAATATTTGAAAGTAAAGCACGTTTTACTGCACTTTCACTATCGATCAAAAGTGTCGTTACTTGTTCTTGTATAATTGATTGAAGTTCATGTAGGGTCGAATCATGTGACGCCTACAGTTATGTACAATTCACGTTATGATAATTATTAATTATTATTATACATCATCATTTGGGTTTAGTTTTCTTGTTTAAAAAGCTAATTTTGAATTTCGAATTTTAGTAAATATGATTAATAATTCATATTAATAATAATTCAAATATTATAATTCGTATTAATAATTCATATTAATAATTCATATTAATAATTCACATATTTAATAACAAAACATACTTGAGCCAATTCAAGGAATCGTAAAGCTGTCTCGGCAAATGTAGTAATACATTGAGCATAAGTCATTCTTACAAGGATTTCTGGGTCAGTAGCAAATTTGCGTAATTTAGGCATTATATACTCAGGAAAGATGGTAGCATTAAATGGAGTTATAGTTTCTACCAATGAGAGCTTAAAGTATAATTAATAAAAAAAAAAAATTTTAATAAAATTATTAATTTATAAAATTTTATAATTAAAATTAAAAACGAATAAAACATTTTAACTATCCAAATATTACCAGGTTTGCCAAAGTTTTCACAGTACTTGCTCTAACCAAACCAACTTCATCATCTAATAATGCTATTAAATAAGGAACTAAACGATCCAATTTAAATTCATCTTCCAAATGCTGACCAATTGCAAGTAACATGTCCAAAGCATGAAGTTTTGATGAAGGATAAGCGGTATTACGAACGGTTGCACATAATAAAGATAGGAATATTAGTGCCCCGTCATCTTTCATTAACACATGAGATTATAATTAGTTTAATTGTTATTAAAATTTAAAACTATTATTATTAATATTATTTATTATATATTTTTTTTTTAAAATTATATTAATACATACCAGAATTTTTCTTTCCTCGATTATTATTAT